ACATTCAGCCACACACACACACTGCTGTCCGCACACCCACAAATACACTAGAGTACACTCTCACATACTCAGACCCACATACAGTTCTCCCACTTACACAATGATGCACACTCACCCACACACACTACACACTCACACATACACACCCACACACTACTGCATGCTCACAGATACACAACCAACAACTATACTACTGTAACACACTACTGTACACTCACATGCACACACACTATTGTATACTCACATGCACACATACTCTTGTGTACACGCATGTACACACACATTCTACTACACACACATGCACCACTATACTCACAGACTCACTACATGTACACCAATATAAACCACACACCAACAAACACTACTATCCACTCAGACTCACACTAATAGTGAGTCACACACACCCACATACACTCATATACACACCTATACTCACACTCACAGACTAATGTGCACACCCCATATACTAACATGCAGACACACGGCCACACCCACATGCCACCCTCCCACTGTCATGCTACATTAAACCCTCTCTTTCTGGAAGCGATCCTGGCTGTCAGAGATGTTTTCACTTTGCACCGAGCTAGGTAGCCAGCACAAGCTGTGTCAGACTCAAGCACCTGGTGAACACGAGACTAAATTCTGGCAGCGTACACCCAGCCCAGGCGGTCGTGGTTCACCCTCCCATCCAGGCCCATGCTGCTGAGAGCCTGGGGGCACTTCCTGGCTCCCCTTCCTGCACGTCCACTGCCCACTCCTCATCCTCTAAGCTACCCAAGGACAGACTTCACCCCAACATTCTGCCCACCACCTGCCCTCCAAGGTGCTCCTGACCCCTCCCTGCCCTTCAACAAATGGCTTCACAGCCAAGTGGTTTCATTAAGGACACACATGCCCGCTCCTCATCTTTTCTGGCTGCAAACCTCCAGAGGTTTCCTGGGGAGCCAGCCCACAGCCTGCCGCCCCCACTCCCCAGCCACACACCTCCCTCCTCCATTTCTTGGACCCCCTCGGCCTGCTCCCACCTGAGGACCCCAAAGCCACCAAGCTCCATCCCAACAGGGTGGGTGGGCAGGCAGGTGAGCATCTGGCCGTTCAAACCCCACCCATATCCAGGGCTGCCCTCCTCACTCACACCACCCGTGGACAGACGTCTGCTGTCCTCTGTGGCCGCAGTCCCAAGCTACAGCAACAGTGGAGCAGGGCAGTCAAAGGAGTGTGGACCGGCAGAAGATCTAGCAAGTCTGTACTGCCAGAGTGCTCCTTAGAGGCCAGAGGGCTCGACTCTGGCTCACAGGGTTCAGAATGTGACCAGGAGGGGCCATCCCTGGAGAAGGACTGCATGCTGAGTGGAGCAGGGGGAGGAAGACCCTCGGTGAGACAGGACAGCACACTGGCTGCAGCAGAGGGCTCAGACAGCAACTGTCGGGGCAGCTTGGGGCTGCGCGGAGATTCCTTCACATGTGCGTGGGGTACTGTGAGCTGGAACCGACGTGAAGGCAGCTAACAACACAGAGTCCCCTTTCTTGGACTCTGAGGGCAGAGGCCAGTCTGCTTTGGTTTTGTCTTGGTGGTGGTGGCTGGAAACCAAGCCAAACCAAACTCACTGCCATCGAGTTTCCGAGATGAAGTGTTGACTGGAATCTTTCTCCTGAGAGCTGCTGGTTTGAATTGCCAACCGTGGGGATCCAGGCCCAACGCGCGACCACCACACCACCAGGACTCCTCCTTAAGCCAAGCTCACCGCCATTGAGTCAGTGCTGGTTCACAGCACCCCTGTGGGTTCCCAAAACTGTAGCTGTTCACAGAGTGGAAAGCCCAGTCTTTCTCCCAAGAGCTGCTGGTGGTTTTGAACTGCCGGCCATGCAGAGGAGCCACCACAGGAGGTGAGGACAGGCAGTAGTAAAACGACAATGTTTCCTGACATTACATGTTCTGTTTGGTGACCACCATTGCATTGTTCCCATTGTGTCCAACCACGGCACTGTCCGATGCCACAACTTCCAGCCACAAAAAGCCCGCTTCAAAGGCCGAGCAGGCAAACAGAGCCGCTCCCCAGTCTCCCAGGGTGGGGACCATGCAGGAGCCACAGCCAGGGGGGTGGGTCCTTATTCAAGATGCACTGAGTGTCGGTCATGCGACCCCGAGCTGCTGACTCTTGGCGACCCTGCGTGGCAGGAGCGCAAGCACCTCCCAGGGTCTCCAAGGCTGAGACCCTCAGGGACCGGGTCTCTGTGTCTCCTCCCTCAAAGTCGCCGGTGGGCTCCATCCACTGACCTCGTAGTTAGTGGCTGAGCACCTCACTACAGCATCTCTGGTGGGCTGCTCCTCCACCCAGCTGACCACTAACCAGCTGGGGTCTCTCAACACTGGAATCTCACCACCGCCCTGCGATCTACAACGATGGCTGGGCAGCTGCCACGTGGAGGGCTGGTCACCAACATCTGTTGCCAGGGCAAGTGACCTGGTCAGCTCAGCAACCACAGCCCAATGGCCATCCGCTGGGAATACCAAATGCAACTATGGACTGGCTCCAAAGAGCCCGCCAGCCTCACTCTGCTCAGCCCTCTGCTTCCAACGTTAAAAACTCTACGCTGCTAGGAAATGGCCACACTAGCATCTGCTAGTCTTTCCTCTGCACCCTCCCTGCTGCCCGCTGACACCTCGGCATCAAGGTGCCCACAGTAGAAATGGCCAACCGAGGGCACAGATGCACACACACTGACCCAGTGCTCACAGAGAAATCTGGACCCTACACACACACACCACCACCACCACCCGCCCACCCACCCCCGTCCCAGTGCTCAGTCAGCGGCTCTGGGTTCCTAGAGAAATCTGGGTCCTGCAAACAGACAGACACACATCACACACACACATTCCGCTCACCCCCACCCCCCACCAGGGCCTGCACTGGGCAAGCTTGAAGCGTATGCCGGCTTATCTGTCCTACAGCTCTGCCTGGGACAGAGCTTCCGGAATTGCAGGGCCGACGGTTGAATCACTGGCACCACCTGACCGTGGAAAGCAGCCCTTCCACAGGCTCTGGGAGATAAGGAACAATGCCCACCGCTGTCTCGCCAATATCCCCCACGGATAACATCTCACGAGAGACAGCAGCTTGGAGCAGCCAGCTTGTTTCGACAGGTGATAAGGCCGGTTTAATGAAATCTGCTGTAATCTACGACCTCGATCACGCCGGGAAGGCGAGCAGGTCCGTGGCCTGAGCGGCAAGTGCTGGCAGGCCGCCTGCTCCCATAAGGATGACAGTCTGGGAAACCCTATGGGCAGCTCCGCTTGGTCCTGCAAGGGAGCTATGGCTGGAATGGACTCCAAGAAGGGAGTGGGTGTGGCTTAGTTTTTTGACTAATGAAAGGTGGGCAGTTCGAACCCACCCAGTGGCACCTCAGCATGAAGCAGCAGCCTCCTTCCACAAGGAACCCCGGTGGCCCACGTGGGGAAGCGCTTGGCTGCTTACCAAAGGTTTTGGCAGTTGGACCACCCCACCCAGTGAGGGCTCAGGAGAAGGCCCGGCCAAACCTCTCCCAGGAAAATCGGCAAAATCCCACTGCTGTCATGTGGTTTCTGACCCAGAGCAACAAAATGTTGGCTGTAACTCTCACTGGAGCAGACAGCCTCATCTTTTTTTCCGGGGGCTGGATGGTGGGCTCGAACTGCCAACTCTGTAGTGAGTAGCCTAATGCCTGCCCTTGAGGGGCATTTCGACTCTGTGGGGTCTCACTGTACTTGGAATTGACCCAGTGGACCACCAGGACTTTCTTCGATGGGGCTGGTGGGCAGATTACTCCTTGAACAAAAGTGATGTGTACTAGTCAAGGGCACTGTGAGCTGGGTACGCGCAGGGATGCCAGCCAGGTGGAGGACTCTGTGCCTCCTGGGGGGCCAGCTGTGCTGTCAGATCCTCCTAGATGGGACCTGGGGGGTGGGGGCAGTGACCTCATCTGGAGACAGGCTTTGCAGGTAGAGTCAGGTCAGCGAGGGTCTACAAAAGGCCACAGCGCCTGTGTGGGGAGTCACAGTCTCAGAAACTCTGTCCTGCAGGGCTCCCTACACGTCAGAATCCACTCGATGGCCGTGGGGTTTGCTTTCATCTCTGCGGCAGGAGCCCCGGTGGTGGCAGCAGTTAAAGCGACCAGCAGCTCCGAGGAGCAGCTTCGAGGAGAAGATGAGGCTGTCTGATCCAGCAAAGACAACAGTGTTGGAGACCCCATGGGCAGCCCGCTGGGCGGTGGGTCCACCCCACGGCCATGGCATGGGACTGGGGCAGGGTGGGTGCTGGTCCAGCTTGAGTGGCTTCTCTTAGAAGATAAGGACAGACAGGAGGACAGCCACCAGGTGCCAGGGGACAGAGGGCATGCCAGCAGCCCGGGGACACCCAGAGCAACCTTTCTAGGCTTCCCCAGGTGGGGGACCACTCGGCCAACACCCAGCCACAGCGGGTCCATTAGCCGAGCTCCTGCCAGGCCTTTCCCACTGCCCCAACTCCCTACGTCCCCCTCCGTGTCTGAGTGAGAGAGGGCGGAGGGGTCATGGGAGCCCACGAGCTCCCCTGGGTGCCACCAAGGGTCCCTGAGTCACCATCCCTCTTTCTGTCCCTCCTTTCTCCTTTCCACAGGGGGTCACTGTTCCCCCTTTCTCCACAGTCTGGCTCACTGATTGACGCCCGCCCGCTGCACCCCTCAGAACAACAAAGGAAGCAGGGCATCTCTTTAGCAGGACACAGCGCCTGGCTCGCATCATGTATCATGGGCACCTGTCTCACCCAATTCCCACCCGCAGCCGCCCCCACTCCATGCACTTTAACATGTGTCGTGAGTGTGGGGGCACCCTCCCTGTGACAAGCACCAGCGTCCTCCTCCGGGGACCAGAGGCCGCATGGGCTGTGCCAGAAAAAACACACATGCTGCTGGGGGCGCTCCTGGCATAAGGGGCTGAGAGGCCCGTCCTGCCCCGTGGCCATGGCCCCGCCCCTGCCCTCTCACCTTCTGCAGCAGCTCGATCTCCTGCTGCTTGGCGCTGAGGACAGCCAGGGCTTGCTCATGCTCCAGCTGCAGATGCTGCCGGCGCTCAGCGGCCTCTCGCATGTGCTACAGGGACAGGGGAGGGTCAGTGATCAGCGGGCTGCTCCCCGCCCAGGCCGGATGGCTGTGGGGAGCGCTGTGCGTTGGCTCTGCATCAGCCCGAGCAGGGGGCCAACGCAGTCGCCACCCCAGCAGCCGTTCCCCTCCCACCCACTCCACCCCGCCACACACACCCAGCGGGTCCTCCCGGCCCCCTCCTCCACCTGTGGATGCACCCTCTTGCCGGGACAGCGGGTGGTGCCAGATGCTTACAAAGATCACCGCCCTTCCCTGGGTTGGAAAAGTCACATTCACCCAAGTGTCTGGGTTTTATTCCAGGTCATTTCTAAGTTACCAAATGCCCACCACTGTGGAGTCCCTGGGGCTTGGTTCAGACTCACAGACCCTGCAGGGAGGGTAGGAGGGCTACCCCTGGGTTTGTGAGACTGAGTCCTCACCTTGGTGGGATTGGACAGCCCACCTTCAGGTTAGCAGACAGGCACTTACCCACTGCACCAGGGAGGCTCTCTGAAGGTACACCCCAAAGCCAAGCCCATGCAGCCCTACAGGGCAGCTGCCCCATTGGGGGATGACTGCCATCTTAGGAAGCAGACTGCCTCATCCTTCTCCAGTGCCAGGCTGCTAAACACAAGGTCAGTGGTTCACACTCACCAGCTGCTCTGAGGGAAAAAGAGGAGGCTGTCTGTTCCAGAAAAGACTGACAGCCTCAGAAACTCTATGAGGCAGCTGTGCTCTGTCTTACAGGGTCACGTGAGTCAGAATCGACTAGATGTCAATAGGTTTATTGTATATGTATGTGTATCTCTGTATGTATGTATATATATATATGTATCTCTGTATGTATGTATATAACTCACTGCAGTCAAGTCGATGCTGACTCAGAGCAACCCTATAGTGGAACCGCCCCGGTGGGTTTCCGAGACTGTCACTCTTGGTGGTGATAGAAGGCCTTATCTATCTCCCAAGGAGTGTGGTGGTTTGAAACTGCTGACCTTTCTGATGGCAGCCTAACGCATAACCACTATGCCACCTAGGTCCCTGTGTCTGCCTATAGGCACACGTACAGACACAGACCCACTGCCATCGAGCCCATCTCACCCCACAGCGACCTTTATGGGCAGAGTAGAAATTCCCTGTTCTTGACTGGAGCCAGCAGCCTCCTGTCTCTCCCTCCCAGCAGCAGATGGGTTTGAACCACTGACCTGGTGGTGAGCAGCCTGTGCTTAGCACACTCCACCACCATAACTCTTACAGGTAAGTGGACACGCATACATATGTACGTGTCATTATTATGATTCGCATTTGAGGATTTGCGTCTTCAGACGTGTGGACCAGGTGCACCCCGTGATTTCCATAAGGAAAAGTAATACAGGAGGGGCCCGGCAGTGGAAGGGGGCACACGGCAGCTCACACTCTTTTCCTGAGGGTTGGCTCCACTCCCTCAGCCACAGGCACTCCTGCCCTGCCGGAGAGGCTGCTGTGGACAGGCAGGAGCGGAAGGAAAGCCTGTTTGTCCTTTTAGAACTCACGTCTCCTGTCTGCCCACTGCTCCACACCCATGCCCAGAGTCCCAGCTGGTGTGCCTTCAAGTGCTCCGCGGAGTGACCTTGGCATCCCCTGCTGTCTCCAGAGAAGAAGCTGGCTGTACAGAAGCTAGGAGCGCTGTGCCTGCACATGAGCAGCTTCACGCCTGAGCCGGTAAGCCCAGCCCGTCAGATCCTGGGGAGCAGGCCCGAGTAAGAGAACCCCACAAACCTGGAGCTGAGCTGTTGGCCCATCACAGGAACCTGCTCAGGGGAGCCAGAACATGCTGGCAGACTAACACCACACACCCTCCCCTCACACATTTGTGCTGCCTCTGAGCCTGGTTCCCCCCACCTCTCTGGTCTCTGAGGCTGACTGCCCACACTCTCCCTGAGCAGGTCAGTTTTGAACCTGGCACACCCCTGGGCAGGACAGCCCTGAGTTTGGTTCTCCCAGACCTCCCTGTTCTCTAAGCCTGGATCCCCTGTCCCCACAGGTCAGCTCTGAGCCTGGCTCCCACAGGCAGGACAACCCTGAGTCTGGCTCTCCTGGACCTCCCTGTTCTCTAAGCCTGGCTCCCCTACCCACCTTGGCCCCAAAGATCAACTTTGAGCCTGGCCCCCACACCCTCCCTGGGCAAGTCAGCTCTGAGCCTGGCTCCCTCAGCCCCCCAGGCAAGAGAGTTGGTATTTCCCACGAAGCCCACTACAAGTCAGACTATCCCTGACCCTGAAGAGCTGTGGTGTCCACTTTGGGTCCAGTCCCTTGGAAGAAAGGCCTGGTGATCTTGCTCTATAAAACCAGCATCTGAAACACCAAGGGACACAGGGCTACCCTGGACCACATGGTGACCATCTGGACTGTTGGCCTGGGCCTCCCAGCTAGACCTGGACCTGGTATGCAGCCAGGATTGTGACCTTCTGCCGCAGATACAAGGTCACCCTTCCCATCGCACAGGGGGCTTCGCAAACTCCCTGGGGAACCCCTATGCGGAAGCCCCTGCTGGCGTGGCTGTGTTTGGCTGCGTGGCGGACAGTCAGGGAGACAGCCTGACAGTGACAGCTGTGGCATGATGACACAGGGCAGTGGCTACATGCATAAAGTCCTAACTGTGCACCCCCACCCTGGGGACACTGTGAGTTCGGCGTGGGGCTGCTCACTGGAAGGTCAGGGGTTCAAACCCACCAGCTCCTCCGAGAGGGGAGATGATGCTGTCTGTTCCCATAAAGGTTGACCACTTTGCACCCACTATGTCAGGCCGCTGTGAGTGGGCGTGGTCTGGCTTTCGCTTTCGTCCTGTCCGTTTGTTATTAACTCTACCTGAGTCTGAGTGGGGAAAGGTCGCCAGTGTGAGTTCAGCCAGAGGTGCCTCGGAGGACAGGCCTGGAGAGTAACCTCTGGCAAATCCAGCACTGGTCACCGCTCTGGTCTGATGCACGGTGGAGGTGTGTAGCAGGGCTCAGGGCTCAGAGCAGCAAGGCCCTTGCTGGAAGCTGCATCTCTGGCCTGCAGCAGAGGCTGGGCACCACCCCAGGTGTCAGATCTCAGGCCAGGCTGCCCTGACCATTGCCCCCAAGCCGCCAACATGGCCGGCTGAACAGCAGACAGCTGCCTAATTACACTATTGTTCCCGCTAATTCCGGGGCTTCTGTTTATCATGGGAGCGGGCACTGCCAAGCCAGCCGTGCGATCTTTATTTAGCGTCGGGAAGGAAGTGATTAGCAGGAGGGGGGCCGTCTTCCTTCCAAGGCTCAGACGGCCCAAGGCTCCCGTGAGTGAGGAAAGGGCCCACAGATGCCTCCATAGGGGTCTAGGCTCACAGTCAAAACAGGCAGCGTGGACAAATCCAAGACCCCCGAAGGGAGATGGCCACAGGCAGCCAAAACTCCCAGCAGACTCCATGGGACCCCCTCCACCTCATTGACCTCACAGAGGGTCCTGAATGGCTGTGATCACCAGGGGGCACAACCAGGCCTTACTTCCGCAGCACCACCATCCAGTGGGTTCAAAGCACCACAGACTCTGATGCATAGCAACCCATACAGATTTTCTCAGACCGTCGCTCTTTATGAGAGCAGAGAGTCCATCCTTCTCCCAGAGTGGCTGGTGGGTTTGAACTGGCAACCCTGCAGTGAACAGTCCAGGGCTTCCCCAATGGCACCCCCAGGACTCCTGATCCCCAAGGTTAGTAAACCCCAATCCAAACCCCACCCCTGCTGCTGGCACATTCAAATTCGTGGAGATCCAGGGTCAGACTGCAACTGCCCTGTGGGCTTCACACTTTCTCCCAAGGAGTGGCTGCTGGACTTGAACTGCCAATCTTTCAGGCAGCAGTAGAGAAGAAATCACTTGTGCCACTGAGAGGTCCACCAGAAAAACACAGATGTCGCTTTGAGGACCAAGGGACACCTGACCCAAGCCATGGTATTTTCAGTGGCCTCATACACGTGTGAAACTTGGACACTGAATAAGGGAGACTGAAGACCTGGGCAAAGACCACTGAAAGTCCCATGGACTGCCTGAGGGACAGACAGAGCTGTCTTGGAAGCACAGCCACAAGGCTCCTTACGAGCAAGTGTGGTGAGTCTTCATCTCACATATTTTGGAAGAGTTTTCAGAAGAGAGCATTCTGTGGAAAAGGACACCATTCTTGGTAAAATAAAGAGACAGCAAAAAAGAGGAAGCCCTTGGACAAGAAGGGCTGACGGAGTGGCCACAACAAGGGCTCAGGCAGAAGGACGATTGTGAGGATGGGGCAGGACCGTCTGTGCTTCATGCCGTTGTCCGTGGGGCACTGAGTTAGAGCCGACTCAGCAGCAATTAATACCATCAGCACCATCTGTCACTGTCCCACCATCCCGTCACCTCTGTATCCCTTTCATCTACCTGCCCTTCATCCATTCCTTATCTACCTATCATTGATCCACCATCCTATTCATTCATCGCCTATCTGCCATCTATTCTTCATCCATCATCCCACCCCTCCTTTATCCACCCACTTATTAATCCACCCACCATCCACCGTCATCTCTATCCAGCATCTACCCACCCCTCATACATCATCTATCATCCATCCACCCTTTGTATATGTCTCCTATAGCCATCCTCCATCTATGCTCCACCCACCCAACCATCATCCATCCATCCTACACAGAGACATAATCTCTCTATCATTATGGAGATGGACTACGACTCGATGTAAAGAGGACTCAGGAAGTCTCACAACTGGACCAATAAGTAACATCGTGATAAATGGAGAAAAGGTTGTAGTTTTCAACGATTCTTGTCTCGCATGGATCAACAATGCTCCGGGAAGCAGCAGTCCAGAGATCAACAGACGTATTGCATTAGGTAAATTAGGTAAATAAACTGCACAAGGCTTTTATAGAGTATTGAAAAAGTAAGAATATTACTTTGAAGACTAAGATGCACCTGACCCAAGCTATGGTATTTTCCATTGCCTCCTACGCACGTGAAAGTTGGACACTGAGTAAGGAAGACCATAGAACAGATGCATTTGAATTGTGGAGCTGGAGATGATTATTCAAAGTACCACAGGCTGCTAAAAGGACAAACAAGTCTGTCTAGGAGGAAGTACATCCAGAGTGCTCCTTAGAGGCAAGGATGGCAAGACTTCACCTTAGTGCTTTGGACATTCTGTCAGGAGAGACCAGCCCCTGAAGAAGGACAACATTTGTAGTCAAGTGGGGAGGCAGCAAAAAAGAGGAAGGCCCTCAACAAGATGGATTGACACAGTGGCTGCAACCATGGGTTCAGGTATAGGAACAATTGTGAGAATGGCACAGGGCCAGGCAGGGTTTTGCTTTGCTGTGCAGAGGGTCGCTATGGGTAGTGACCCAGTTGTTGGCACCTAACAACAACATCCTCCATCTATCTTACACTCATCCATTACCTTTCCTCCATCCATCCATCCTCTACCTATCCATACATGTGTCCATCATCCATCCATCCATCATCCACCCACCCATCCATCATTTATCCTCCAACTATCCATCCTCTATCCATGCATCCATAATCCATCCATCCATCCATCATCTATTCTACATCTTTCCATGCATCCATCCAACCATCCATCATCTATCCTCCATCTATCCATCCTCTATCTATCCATCCATCCATCTCTATGTCATCCATCCATCCACTCATTATCCATCATCCACCCACCCACCTGCATAACTACATACCTGTCATTCATCAACCCCTCTCTCTAGCTCAACTCTCCATCTACAACCCCTTCTCAAATTCCGTCATACACAGTGCACTCCAGGACAGGACCTCACAGCTGACAGGCGCCAGAAATTATGTCAGAGACGCCATCTGTGAGGCTCTACCTGTGGCCAGGTCATCTTTACAGCAGGGATGTCCAACCAGCGGACAACACCCACACGAGCCCACACGTTACCCAGAGATGCAAAATGCCACTTCCCAAGGAAAGCTTGGTGGGACAAGGAGTCCGGGGGTAGGCAAACTGCAGGATCTCCTGGTGTTAGATCAAAGGGGACCTGGGGCCCCTGCCTTGCCTGAGCAGAGAGGTTACTAGAAGAGTGGTTCCCCTCTAAGGAGTTCAACGTCACGCTAGTGCCCACAGAGGAAACAGTGGAGACTTGTGTGAGTGCAGCTTCCTTTAACTCAGCACCAGCTGAGGACGACAGTAACCTGCTGGTGTAGTGGCTATATGCGCGGCTGCTCACCGTAAGGTCAGCACACAGGGGCAGCTCTGCCCTGACCTACAGGGTGGCTCCATCTGGAGAAGGGAGGGGAGCCGCAGACAAGCGGCTGCTTTCATGTCACGTGATTTCCTGTCCCGTGGAGAGAACTAGCACAGCAAAGAGGAGACCAAAATAGACTCTGTGTTGTCCAAGTACCTGAGTTCAGGAGCTCTGGTGGCGACAGGGTAAGCGCTGGGATGCTATTGGAGAGGTCAGTGAACTCACCGGCCAATCCGTGGCAGCAAGGTGAGGACAACTGCTCCCAGGAAGGCTGGCAGCTGTGGAAACCCTGCCGGGCAGTCTCCTCTGCTCCCCAGGGATGGACTCCTCACAGCCAGTGGCTTAGGGAGTCCCTGGGCAGCATCGGAAGGAAGCTCTTGGCTACTAACCAGAAGGTGGGTGATTCAAGTCCACCCAGAGGTGCCTCAGAAGAAAGGCCTGGTGGTCCTGCTCCAAACATCCACGCACCCAAACACTTACGGAGCGCAGTCCCACTGACACACACACGGATCACCATGCATTGGGGTCGACTGGATAGCACCAGTTTCTGCTGGTGTCCATGCTGCCCATGGCCAGTAAGGTCATTTTCCTGAAGACATCATCAGCTAAGCCTCCATCTAACTGCCTGGAAGGGGACACGGCCGGCCAGATCTCTGTCCAGATGCCAGTCTGTCCTGGCAGTCTGTGTGGCCTGCGGGGCTCATGCACCTCTATTAGGGGCTGAGGCACAGAGAGTGCCGGCCCCCCGGCTCTCCCCCCGCCCTGAGAATCACTAGTCTGAGCACCCCACTCAGGGACGCCAACGTGTACCCATCCTGTTTGCCTCCTCTCCATCATCGGATTGTCCCACTCTTGTCTCCCTCTGAGAAGCCCTGGTGGTGCAGCAGGTTAGGTGATGGGCTGCAAAGCACAAAGTCTGCCGTTCAAATCCACCAGCCTCTCCAGGGGAAAAAGATGAGGCTCTCTGCTCTCGTAAAGATTCAGTCTTGGAAACCCACAGGGCACTTCTAACCCCGCCCTGGAGGGCCACTAGGGGTCGGAGGTGACTCGACAGAAGCAGTGTAGGTTTGGGGGGTTTCCTTGTTTGTTTGTTTATTTGTTTGTTTGTTTGGTGGGGGTTCCTTTTAAGAGGAGCCCTGGTGGGGCAGCAGATTACATAATGGTCCACCAACCACAGGGTTAGCAGTTCGAACCCACCAGCTGCTCCAGTGGAAAGATGAGGCTTTCTACTCCTGTAAAGAGCTGCAGTTCTAGCCTGTGCTCAGGGTCCCTCGCTCGACTTGGTTCTGACTTGATGACTCCAAGTCTGGGTTTGTTGACCTTCTGGGTTATTAGGATGTTCTCAGTGTCTGTGTTTTAAGTTCTGTGTCAAGCGTTTGACGCAGAAGTGCCTCAAAAGAAAGATGTGGGGTCTCCCTCGTCTACTCATCCTCCTCCCACAGAACAGCTGGTGGGAGTCCAGCACACCCAGGTTGGAAATCCAGTCACAGATGGCCTTAGAGGCACTTTTTGGTTTGAGGAACATCAGCTGTTGCACAGACCTCTTTAAAGTGCTAGGGGACAAAGCGGGCCCTGTGGGGACGAAGGTGCCCCTGACCCAAGACATGGTGTTTCTCACAGGCATGAGAGAGCTGAACCCTGACCACGGCAGGCAGAGGAGAGTCGCTGGTGAAGAGCTCGGAAAGCACCACGGCTGCCTGCCTGCCTGCCGGGAGCGAGGGAGGGAGGGCAGGCGGGCACACGGTGTGCTCTCGGGAGACATGCAGCCAGAGCACTCCTTGGAATGAGGCTGGGGAGGCCTCATCTCGAGTGCCTTTGCAGTGGTCTCAGAGGGCTCGGTGCCTGGGACAGTAGAGGACCCGCAAAGAGGCGCAGGGCCCAGGGTGAGGTGGACAGACTCACAGGCCATGACAGTAGCTCACGCATAACCAGGGGTGTGGGCACGGCACAGGGGGACCGCTCTTAGTTGGACCCGACGACCCCCTCCCAACAGCACCTAAACACTCCCCCTGCCCCACCCCAGGCATCTGGGGCAATTCTACTGATTTGTGACACACGAGGGATCAGAGTAAAAGCCGTGCTTGACGACAAAGGACTGGGAGTTCTGCTCTGTGCTCAGAGACGGGACTGAGGTGGGGTTGGGGGGTGTCACTTGGCTCTTCTCCAAAAATCCCCCAACGAGAATCCAATCAAAAGAAATTAGCACTGGAAAACAGCTGCAGAGTCCCTTCCTTTATGGCGCGGTCACCGGGCCACCTCAGTAACAGGCTGGCCCATCCAGGAGACCCTGGAGGAGAAAGAACCCAGGCTGGCATTGAGTGGTCCTGTCAGGGAGGCTGGGAGACGCCCAGAGGTCTGACCAACACTGCTGTCGCCGCCACTGTGGACAGCCCTGGCCTCTGGCCTGGGTCAGCCCAGCTCATCCCCAGGGCCCCGCCTTGTCGCCCTCTGCTGCCCAGCCAGAGTCAGAGATCCAAGCCCATGACTGATTTACAGCTGGTTCCCAGACATCTGACTCTGTCACTTACTTACTGCCTGTCCCTGCTGAGACGGCCCACACCACTGGAGCCTGAGTCCCCAGGGCCGCTGGGAAGAGGCCCCACTGCTTTGCCCTGCCCCCGGGGGAGGCTGGCAGACGTGTCGCCACACCAGGGTGCTCCTACCTTTAGGACCTGTTCTAGGTTCTCCAGCTTGGCTTGGCACTGGCGCTCCTCCTGGTGGCCAAATCGCCCCCGTAGTCACTGTGCCAGCGTGTGGGTCAGCCCAGCATGGTCTGTGGTCCACTGCAGAGAGAGAGGAGGGAGAAGGAGCCTGCTGCTGATGTGAGCCAAAGACGTCTGTCCCCAGCCTGTGTGTCTTCTAGCAATCTCCTCCCCGCCTCAAACCCTGTGCTCCACAGGTGGGGCCCCTCCCCTGGACACACACCACGTGACTCTCCAGCCCCTACAACCACTGGGGTTGGCTCAGAACTGGGCACATGACCTGGACCTGGTCAGAGAGCCATTGGCTGGGAAGGGACAAGGACCCCACACATCTCCAGAGACACAGGACTTTGTGTGGGAGTCGGGTGGAGAAGCTGTCAAGGATTTCATTCCACCTGGATCTCTGTCCTTCCATCTCCCACTCTCCCTGAATCCTAGGACCCAGGTGCATTTCAGGACTTCTCCCTAGGACACCTCCCCGAATCCCGGGGCACTGCTGGAGTCACAGGACTAACGGACCAATTCGCTCCTTCAACAAGAGCCCTTCGGTCACTGCTGTGTACTCAGTCTTGAGGTGGCACCAACAGCCAGCGCCCTGAAAACTCACCAGAAAGTAGGGGGTTCCAGTCTACCTAGAGGTGCCTTGTAAGAAAGACCTGATGATCAACTTCCCAAACCAGCCACAGGACACCCTGTGAGCACAGCACTTCTCACACACATGGGCGGGGGTCGGAGAGGCTAGAGTTGACTCCGGAGCAACTGCATGTGTGTGCATAGGCATGTGTGCACGCGTGCGTGTGTACGCGTGTGTGCATGAGCACGTGCACGTGTGTGCTCTAACAATAATCCAGCATCATGCTTGCCCCTCAGGTGTTCACTGGGTCAGGTGTGAGCTGACTTCAGCAGTTCTGGCCTCTGTGCAGAGGGGCCCTTAGAAGGATGTGACAGGCATCAAGGGTGCAGGGTGTAAGCGGCCCCACTCAGTGGCCTTTTACGCCTGTGTGGCAGTGCAAGTCCACCCAGAGTCAGGTGGAAGAAAGGCCTGGAGATCAGCTCCTGAGAAGACCCTGAAGGCCCCGAGAAGCATGCTCCTGGGGTGCCACGAGGCAGCAGACTGGGGTTTTCACTGGCACCCACTGCTGCTGCCACACCCAGACCTGTGAGGACTGTGCGGGGGCCAGGCAGTGTGAACTGTAAGCTGTGAGTGTAAGGGACAGCATTTCAACCAAGAGAAATGCACCCAGAAGTCTCGGAGCCTCACCAACTATGTGAATCATCCAACTGGCTAAAAGGTTGCTTGTCCTACTAATTGCTTAAATGCCTGTGACAATGTATGCACAACGAGCTGCTAGGTCCTGCAGTGACATGGAATCAATGGGACAGCTCCCAAGAGGATTAGGAGCTGGTTCCTGGTTTTCATGGGGAATTCAAAAAGCCCCCAGTCTCAAAACATTGTGAGTAACCACTTTGAGGGCTGAGGTGCATCTGACAAGCCATGTAACTTCCAATCGCCTTGCGTGCATGTGAGAGTCGACCCCTGAATAAGGATGGCGGGAAAGGATGGACGCCTCTGAATGACGGTGCTGGGGAGAACACTGAAAGCACCGCAGGCTACCAGAAGGACAGACAGACCTGCTCTGGACAAAGAATGCTCCTCAGATTGAGGGTGGAGAGACTTGGCTTCAGGTACTTTGGACATGTTGTCAGAAGGGACCAGCCCCTGGAGAAGGGCGTCACGTGAGGTACAGCAGAAGGCAGCGAAGGGAAGGAAGGCCCTCCATGGGATGGGCTGGCACGGGACTCCAACGAGGAGCTCACACAGCGTGGCCCAAGACCGGCAGGGTCTCCTGCCGTACAAAGGCCCGAAACAACCACCGGAGAGGCCGGCGCACACACAGACTCCCTCAAAAAGAAAAAAGCCCATTAAGAAACGGATTTGCTCTTTACTGTGATGGTCATGTAAACAGAGCTGCGCTTGGCACAAATCCCCTCTTCCTCTCACAAGTGACTTGTTAAGTAAATAAACTCGTGAAAGCACAGTAGCTCATTAACGCATTTCCCAAGACAGGTAACCTCACAGAGGGTTGAACAAAACGTGAGTCTAAAAGCATCGGTGAGTCGTCGTGGCAACAGAGAAAAGGACCGGCTAAAAGGAGGGCACCACCCCTCACCCCAAGAGCTGAGCTCCGCTGCAGCATGCCTCCTTGAGGCCTTGGGCGCGAGGAATTGATGAGATAGCCCAGTCACATTTCCATAACAAGTCAACTTGATGGCTCTGCCCATTTAGTGCACAAACCGGAAGACGCTGTGTGATCACAGGCAGCATGTCAGTCACTGGCCTTTCTGCTCAAACTCTTCAAGACCCAGTCCAACTGGTTAGAAAGGTGAGCGACCATCATGTCACGGCTCCAGACCTCGTGCTGTCCTAGGTGCTGAACTCAAGAGGCCAAGAGAGCAGTCTGGGTGGCAAGGTTGGCTATGCATCATGCGAGACCTGCAGTTTGAACCCACCACTCTTTCTTGGGGAGAAAGATGGGGGGCTGTCTGCTCCCTGAAAGATTTACAGCCTTGGAAACCCAAAGGGCCGTCCAGTCCATGCTGTGGGAGCGCTATGAGTTGGAATAAACTCGAAAGCAGTGGGCTTGTTTTTGCCAGAGGACCAAGGAGTTCTGGTGGTGCTGCCGGGTAGGCACTGGACTGCTAACCACAGGGCTGGCGGTTCAAGCTTGCAGTCACTTCGAGGGAGGAGGGCGAAGCTGTCAGCTCCCTTAAAGATTTACAAACCCTGGAAAGCCCTGCTTGGGTCACTCTGAGCAAACCTAACAGCAATTGTGAGGACAGTGCTCCTTCTGTTGCCGTGAGTCAGAACAGACCCAGTGACACCTGAGGGCCACAGCCATGGGGCTACACAGTGGCTCACTGTGGTGCTGGGAGCTGTGCATCTTCCAATAATGTTCATTATTATCCGAGACACAGAGCCACGTTGACCAGATTAACACACATCGTAATGAAGCAAGGAGGGCACTGAAATAGCAAGTATATGCTTCTCCTTTCAAATGCCACGGTTAGATAGGTTTCCCTAGTGTTTCGGGGTAAGGTGAGGAAGAAAGGTGTGACAACCTTTGACAATCAATCGCCCAGGGGTGGCATTGAGCGCTGGTCCAACCACTTGCTCTGGACTTTCTACCCCCACTGGCAAACCCACTGCCGGGAGTCGGTTGCAGCTCATAGAGGCCCTAGTGGAGCTGCTCTGTGGGTTTGTGAGGCCGTCAAACGTTTAGGAGAGTGGATGGCCTCATCGTTCTCTGGGAGTACCTGGTGTGTTTAAGCCCCAACCCTGCGGTGAACAGACCCACACACCCACATACCCACTATACCAGCAGGGATCTCACACCGGCCACTGGGAGGGAGGGGGAGAGCGTCTTGGTGACGTACAGGGTCAGCAAGAAGGAGCCTGAACCTGCCAGGGCACAAGGGGGACACGGGACAGTCACTGAGCCGATTCCTATTTTCAATATGTGTAGGTTGACAGAGGTTGAAGGGCCAAACGGAAGTCAGAGTGGCCAGTGGCAGTCCTGAGGCCTGCCCCCACCCCACCACCGGCACTGACTGCACTGACTGGAGTCAACTGTACTCCAAGAAGGCAGCGGCGCCCTGTCAGCACTCACCCTGGGGAGTGAGGGCTGAATAGAGGCACAGCACAAGGAGGATACTAAGTCCACAAGCAGTACTGCACCATCACAGAAACCTGTCTTCCAGGGCACCAAGGCTGAAGCCGAGGTGTGCGCTCTTCTGGGTGTCGTTCCCGTCCCCCCAGAACCTCCTTCTGGGAGGAATATTGTGCTCCGCTACTGGCGCCTCGCCATGTAGGCACCCTCAGAGGACCCGAATTCTGTTCCTTTTCAACGTCCTTGGAGTTCGGGGATGAAAAGGAGTCTGCAGGGGCAAGATTGGGGCTGCAGGGTGGCTGGGGTCTCCCAGGACAGCCCTTGGCACCCTCGAAGAAGAAGCAGGTGGGTGCACACTCACGGTCGGGGAAACAGATCTTCGGCTTACTTCCTGGGCCTTTCCCTCCCCGTGCAGCTTCCCGTTTCCTTAAGCAACCTCTGATAAGTAATACTATTGTATTAAGTCCACGTTGGGGAATGATAAACCCCTGTGCCTGACCTGTGTCCTCCCAGATGCTCTATCAGGATAACTCCTTTAGGGGTCCTCTCCCCACCCCCACTCCCACCCCCCAAAAAACCCAGTCACTATCACCTCGGCTGAGCTGAGCTCTCTGTCTGGCGTGGAACTGGCTGGCACTCCCTCAGCGTCGCTGTTCTGACCGCACCTTTGTGGGATGAGCCTCACTCAGGAGAAGAGGAGCAGCCCCGCTGCATGTGGGCTGAGTGTTCTTCCCCGACAGGTTTGCTCATCCTCCTGGCAGTCCGCAGCAGCATTTCCCAGATGCCTTGCCCATTCCACGGCCCGGATTCTTCATGCACACGAGGCTTAGCACTGTTAAGATGTCTATTTGAGTCTCTGAGGTTCCTCTCATCCGAGGAACTCAAAAGATCCCACAGAGAACTCGACATAGAGCATGCATCTCACTTCTGGGCAGAGGTAGGAGAGAGAGAGAGAGAGTCTCGCATGCATCTCACTTCTGGGCAGAGGTAGGAGAGAGAGAGAGAGAG